GAATGCTGAAGCATGTTAATTCCTTTTCTCAGAAACAGTCCTTGAGCTGCTTAATGAACCATCAACAACCAAGCCTCCTAAAAAATCTTATGCCAAAAAAAGCAAGAAGCCTGTTTCCACCCAGACCAAGGGATCAGCAGTAAAAAAGAAACAGAGTGGGCAGGCATCTCAGAAAACCAAGGCCAGAACATCCAAGCCTAATTTAGATCTACCAAAGCAGAAGGCAAAGACTCCAAAGGTTTCACCAAAGACTAAAGGCTCCCAGTTTATCAAAACCAAGAAGAAACCTTCCCCTCTCCCAAAGAAAAGAGCAGCTGAGGAGAAAAGCCAGAAGAAACAAAAAGGGGCGAGATCACGGAGCCGCCTGTGAGCTCATAGGAGCTATCACTGAGCTCAAAATAAACTGAGTCAGATGATGAACTTGCTGAATATTTCCATCAGAGACCTAATTAACTGAATCGGATCAATGTTATGACTCCTGTATTTTCATAAATATATATTGGGCATATTCAGCTTTCATGCAAACAGGTACTACTGCATTACCTTTAGTGCAAATGATTTGTATGTTTTATTAAGACTTCATTGGCACAGGTTTTCCCAGCCTGCTAAGTTTCATGTTCCTCACAACTCTTGCTCTGAGGGACAGCTCTTCATGTCAGTAGCTGTGTGAAGCCTCTGTTGATTCAATGTTAGTCCCAAAGGTAGGAGTAGATAGGCTGTAGTTTTAAGTGATTTTTGCAGCCTAGCTGAGACAAAAGTGCAGGACTGGGCTACAAAAGTCTATCAAGGAGCTGAGATGTTTGTTAGATATGTGTTTTGATCATAGAATATGGAATAAACTCCTTAAGTTGGCCTGATTTTTGTTTCAGTCAGTATTCTTGCTTTTAAGGTCCCTTGACCAATGAATTTCTTATCTGTCATAAAATATGTTATAAAGAATGTCGCCTTCTATTAAATGCCATAGAACAAAATCTGAACAGGTGTGTTTCATTTTGGCCAGTGGTTTTCAACTGTTTTAGACTCAAGGCACCCTTTGGGAAATGCTAGTTCTTAGCTTTTGCTTGTTTTTTTACTACAGAAAAATATTAGGCAATTCTTTGGTTGCAAAGAGCTCAGAAAAACAACAGGGCAGACCGTTTTTGACACTATGATTCCTCATGTGAAATCTCTGGTTTTATCTTGTGGATCATACATAGATGTTTGCACACATAACAGTGCTAATATTGCACAACACCCTTAAAAAGATCTCGTAGCACCCCACAGTGCTGTGGTTTCCTGGTTGAAAGTCACTGTTATGGGCAGATGACCAGCCAAGGTCGTCTCTACCTAGAAATGTTTGAAAATCATGCTGATAATGTCAAAGCTGAGCAACTGCCTGCTCCCGTTGAGTTCGGGAGGGCTGGAGGACCCCAGCACATCTGAAAAGTAGGCTAGTTGACTGGTTTGTGCAGAAAGTTAAGCTGATGCAAGCCATCAGGCTTGTAGCACATGTGAGAGGCCTCTGACAGGCTTCTCTGTCATGGCATTGTGAAGTTGCTTTGTGCTTTACACCCCCTCCCCACACCCCCCAGGTAGTTAGGAATTAGGGCCAGATATTTCAGAAGCAGCTGTTTCTTAGAAAGAATGAGCAATAAAAAGCTTCATTATAAGAGCTCAGGTTGCATAGTCATTGTGAACTCAAGAAAGATATAGCAGATTTTATTAACTGGGCCTACGGTTTAGTAACTTGCAGGTTATTATTTACCTGTGGTAGAGGATCTAACAAAGTTAAAAGATTTCTCATGTCTTTAGGTATTTTCCCATGTATTTCTTTTTTGTACTCAGGTACTTAACACTTAAATAGGGGGAGGGGAGGAATTCAGTAGCATCCACAGACACGTAGAATGAACTTTGGAGAGAATTTGTAATAACTGCAAAGTTTCCTATTTAATGGGAGTCTTATGTGGCAGCACTACAGGTATATTACTATGAGAGTGAAATAGTAATATAGCACATGCACATATAGCACATAGTAGCAATATGAGGTCTGATTCTCTTATTCCCTTCTTGTGAGCAAGTTAACTAAAATGTTGCAGTACTACTAAGCCCAAGTATTTGAAATGACACACACCTCAAAAAGATTACAAAAGCACTATGTGGACAAATGCCCTTAGTGTGTAGGCTGCAGTTAGGAGAAGTTTGGGTCTGCTGGGTGTCCAAAACAAAATATTTTATATCCACCAAGAGCACTGCAATCACTGGTTTTCCTCTTATGCCACCACTATCACCAGCTACTCACTTGTGACATTTATGGGCTTTTTTACACGTAAGATTTATACAACTTTAACTAGAGTGGAGTTGTTAGTGCAGTACAGCATACTCTTGCATGCAAACTGTTATATCAGTATAAAAGTACTTCTAGCTACTCCTGCTCAGGGAGAGGAATACACTATACCAGAATATACAGCACCTTTATACCATTATAACTGTATCTGCACTAGGCATTGTGCTGGCATAAAATACATGGTTAGATCAGGTCTAAATGTGGAAACCTTGAAGAAAATGGTATGATTAACTACTTCAGCTTCTTTAGTTTTATTGCCAGGCATCTAGCTACTCCCTCCTTGCTAGTTCATTTTAATGAACTAATATAATTTTTAAGGGAATACATAAGCTTTTTTTCCTGTCTTCTGTAAGCAGCCACTTTTTCTCTCCCTTCCCTTGTAAGGCTTCCAATATGCAGGACCACTCTTATAGTTATGGGTGTATTTCATGTGTGCTAATTCTCATGGATGTTCAGGTGTTCTCACAGTTTTGCGTCCTGTTAGGTGTCTTCAAATGAAAGACCCCATTTATGAACCAGCAATTAAAAAGAGTTTGAATGCCAGCAAGTTCAATTGCCAGTTTCATTTGACAGAATGTTCACAGATACCTTTTTTTTGCTGTATTCAGCCAATTTATTTCTACATGGGGAGAATTTTAAAGATTGGTTTAGAGTGGAAATAAATAAGGGGAATGAGAATTGTGCATTTCTGTTTACTCTCTACTCTCATAAAAAGGAGAAATTCAGTGCTGAAAGGCAATAAATCAGCTTAAGTCTGGTAGAAGGAAATATTTCTTACATCAAGTATAATTTATCTGTGGTACTTATATATCCATGTACATGAAGCCAAGGGGATGGTGGGATCTAAAGAATGTTTCATCATTTATCTGGGTAATGAGAACCTTTATGGTTGTATTAGATACAATTACAAATGGAAACGATGAAAATATACATGTCTCCTCAGATTGAAACTATGCAAAAATTCCTCTATGGACAAATTATTCCAGAATTATTCATTAAACATATTTCCTTTGGAGAGGTTGGTACTGACCACTGTCAGAGACAGGCTACTAAGCTAGATGCATCTGGAGTTGGATCCATCCTGGCAATAGTCATATTCCTAGTTGGTATTTATAGAATAGATCAAATATGAGCAGAGGCATCTGGAGAAGAAATTTAATAGCCTCAGTTCCAGGTCTACTTGAATATTTATATTATTTTTTGGTGGTAGGTGGAAGAAAACAAATGTAAGATGTTATTTTTGGTAGAGTATATTTATATTTGAATTACAAAGCCAGAGTCTAATGCGCCAACAACTCATCAAGGAAACCAGCACTGTTTGAAAGAGATCCCAGGGGAAAGATGGAGCCAAAACAAATTACGTCATTTTACAGTTCCAAGCTGAGGGAACTGATTACAAAATTATAAAGTGTCTCCATTGCCCCCTTCTGGATATGCTGGTGAGATCCATTATTGCTGTTTCAGTAGGGCTCAGGCTGCCAATAGGCATCTTTTCCCACCAAAATATCACGAGCACCCTGGGCAGTTGCTCAATACAGTGGTTATGCTTTTTAGATTCATAAATTAAAAAAAATAGTAATAAAAATAATCCATGAATGGAAAATAGAAGTATCAGCTGCACAGCTTTATTGTCCAACATTTACTTTGGGTTGGAAGCTACTAGCATTTCTTTCAGCTAGAGCAAGGCAGAGGGGAGGACTATCTGGACACTGACACCTAACTCAAACAGAACTTCCAGTAAAGGAAACCCACTTGTGATCTTGCCTTTAGTTAGCTGCATTGTAGCCATGATCATTTATGAAAGTCCTCTTTTTTCTACAGTGTATGAATGCAAATGTGATCAGTGACAGTACATATAATAATGATATGTTTTAAATGCAAGAATCCTTGTCTCATAACCTTTTTAGTAATCCAGAATGGGGAGAAGCAGTAATGTAAAAGCTGCTCTACGCTTCTTTTGGCTTTGTTGCAACTGTGAACGCACTTTGTCTGTTGTAGACTATGTCCATTCAACAGTCCTCTAGAACCAAGCACAGATATATAACATACATGATTAGACCCTGCCAGACTTTGTGGGAGGTAAACTATCCAAAGACTTGCAAAATTCCCTACTGCACGTTAAGAGCATGACTTTTACCCTTGGGAATATAGGTAGAGGATCACATCTGACCTGCACGTTTTGAATTTAGCAGCAGGGGAATAGGAAGTGAATAGAAGTGGCTATTTGAAGAGGCTAGTTCCTTAATTTGCTTCTTCGACTAGGTAAATGACCTAGTGCAGGGGTGTCAAACTCATCAGGTCCGCAGGTTGGATGGGTGGTCTGTGGGCTGATTGAGTGTCTTCAGGCTGGATTGAGCCCACAGAATGGCCTCATGCATAGGATCTAGCGTGGATAGGATCTGCGCATAGGATTTAGTGTGCAGAGTCAGTCCGGCATGGATGCTGTATGCCGTGGATGCCCTGGTGCTGTGGGCCACGGGCAGTTTGCCCCAGCTTTGGCCATACATACTGTTGGCAGCGCATGCCAGATCGGCCCTGCAAGCCATAGGTAGGGTGTACCATGCATGTGGCCTGCTGGCCCAGTCCAAGACCCATGAGGCAGCACCGTAGGCCAGATAATAGGGCTCTGCAGGCAGGTTCTGGCTTGTAGGCCATATCTTTGATACCCCTGACCTAGCAGATGAGAGAAGAATAATCAATGCAATATACTTTATCTTTAGAAATACTTTTAAATACTGTTCCACATGCCATTTTGTATATACAGACTAGGGAAATATGAGCTGGATGAAACTACCATGAGAGGAGAGCACAATGGGCTGAAAAAATGACTCTCAAAAACTAGTTATTGATGGTTTACTGTGAAACTGGGAGGGGATTTCATATAGAGTCCCGTGAAGGTCTGTCTGGCGTTTGATTGCATTCCAATATCTTGACCTGGGTAATGGAGTGGATCAGAGGTGGGCAACCTGCAGCATGCATGCTACAAGTGTCCCAGGTGGCCTCTGTGGCACATGACAGATCAGTGAGGGGACAGGCGGGACAGGCAGCACAGCAGCAGAGAAGGCAGGGAGCTGAAGGCAGTGCAGGAAGCACGGGGCAGGAAGCAGAGCAGCAGATCAGGTACAGGAAAGGGATCTGAGTGATACTTGTGGAGAGTGCAAAGCCAATCTATGGTATACCTGTCCCCATTGGAATAGATGGTGCACATATTAATCTTGTTGATAGGTGGAAGGATTACAAATACATTGAAGGACAGGATTTGAATCCAAACTGGGTTTGATAAACCCCTCATGTCAGAAAGGGTATAGAAGAACTAGAGAAGGTCCAAGAAGGGCAACAAAGATGATTAGTGGTATGGAGGGGCTTCCATATGAGGACAGACTAAAGAGGCCAGGCCTATTCAGTTTCAAAAAGAGACTCTTGAAGGGGGACATGATAAGGGTTTACAAAACACTAAATGGTGACGAGAAAGTAAATAGGGATTTATTACTCCCACAAGACAAGAACTAACGGTTACAGCACGAAACTAGTATGTAGTAGGTTTAAAACTAACAAGAGGAAGCTCCTTTTCACACAACATGTAATGAAAGCGCAGAACTCATTGCTGCCGGATGTAGTGGAAGCTGAGAGTTGAGGCAGATTCAAAAA